CTTTGAGCTATTATTAGAGTTAGCTTGACTATTATTTGATTTTGATAGAAAAAGCTTCCCAGTACTGCTTTTAAAAGTTGAAAATACTAGGCTACAGAGGACTCAGTGGTATCCTTTTCAGCCAAGCTATTTAATTTTTCTAGTACTTTACTATATTCTACTTTATCTGTACTCTCGACTGTCATCCTAAATGCCATGTAAGACTCAGGCAAACCTCTTAGAAGTAGACACGCCTTCATTTCATCGTCCACGGGTTTCTCTATGTCAGCAAGTTGAGCATTGAGGTCAAGAAATTTAGAAATATACTCACTCATGCTGTTGCATACTTCCAACTTTAAATCTAAAAGCTGGTCCAGCAGAAATATTCTCCTGTTTGTGCTCTTGACTTCATACTGCTTTGCTAAAATGTCCCATGCTTCCTTCGCTGATGTGGCTGTCCTGACATGTAGTTTTGGAGCTGCCTCCAGGTGCATGGCAATCTTGGCAAGTGCCCTCTTATCTTTGTCTGGATCAACAGTTAGTAGTGTCGTCTCTGTATTAGTATTTCGTGGTTCAATGCAATTCCACAATCCCTCATACTTCAGAGCCATCTTCATATCAAATTTCCAACTTGCATTGTTGGCTGACCCTTTCAACATAGAAATTCCAGGGGCTGATGTGGAGTACACAACTTTGTCTCCCATCATAGTAATTAATAAGTGTTCATTCAATGGAATTTACTATAATATTTCTTATACACTTCACTCAAAAATTAAACAGTTCAAAATAGGCCACAGAGAACATGTTACAATAAAAGTGAAACTGGGCCCATAACCACTTGTTTATAATTGATTTTCCTTTATAATAATTAGGAGTAAAATGACTACACAGTATGGTTTCTAAAGTCCATAGTGGAAGTGAAGTTTATTTACAACAACAAAATAAACATAGCAAACACATGGCATATAATATCATTCATGACAGCTGCTTTAAACTTAATACCAAGAAGGCAATGAGGAACAAGATTACAAATAAATTCCAACAAAATACTAACCAGCATCAAGTTGACAGTTACTTAAATGAATTAGTTAACTCTCCAACCCCACACCTGAGATATCCTGAGTTTAATTTTAAACCAGTTTAATTAAACCAAGTTGGACAATTAATATTTTCATATCATAATAAATAATAATAAAACGTATGTTAATTCAAATAATCATAAAGAAAAAAGGCAGGCATAAATTATTACATATTCTCCCCCCAGAACTGCAACCTTAGAAAGAGGGCGACGGAATGTTCCTGTGGAGTGTTTGTGTGTAATAAATGAAAATTATGAGAGAAAAATTAGTAAGTCATGTTAACAAGAAGAACCAGAGTAGAATAATGTTTATTTGTACAATATAATCAATTATTTAAAAATCATCAGCTGTTGTAATTAATTTTAAACAGGCTAAAGAAAAAATATTAGGTAAAAGAACTGAACATACTCCCAGCCTTGAAGTGTCCTCACTTCAACAGTTAGTTAGTCCAGGGGTAATACACAGAGTTGAGTTACAGGCCGGCTTAGCAGCTGGTTGCTTTTTCCTACTTCTGCTTTTCAACCTATACCATCTTTGCTGGGGTACAACTTGAAAACTTTTGCTAGAGACAACTGAAGTTCTTATACGTTGAAATTAGGATCATCAGAGTTTTGAAGACACTTTGGAGTTTCATTATGAGACTGAAGAATATAAGTTAACAACAAGTCTTTAGAGTTCATAACACATTTCTTCAATATAAAGAATTCTTGTTTTAATAATTCAACAAGTTGTGATTGGAAGGTGAACACTTTTTCTGTAGTTTGTGATGAAGAGTAGCCATTGGTCAGAGCTTCATCGAAAGATGCAACCACTTGACTGGATTGCTTGACTGTCTTTACTGTAGTGGTTGCACTGTGGGTTGGGTTAACGGCAGCACTGTCTGTCGTTTGGATAGCAACCCGGTCAGTAGGATGGGTGACAGCATTATCAGTAGGGTTTATAACAGCACGGTCACTTGGTATGACAGCAGTGTTGGTAAGATGGATAGTAGCACTGTCACTTGTCAAGGTAGTTGAGCTCACTGTTGTGTCTGTATTCGTTGGTTGAGGTTTTGTCATTGTCACTGTGGTATTTCTAATTTTCGAGTTTGCGAACTTAGGCATAGTGTTTGCCACTGACCTCTTTATTGTGATGAGTTTTGTTTCAGGTTGTATAAGCTGGGTGCCTTTGGTTTGAAACTCACTTGATGGGTTTGGTTTGGTTACATTCATTGCAGTGGTTCTCTGAGGTTGAGCTGGACTGCAATTAACCTTGGCCAAATAAGGATTAGAACCAATTTCTGAAAGCAGCACTTTGATGTAGCTGGTGATATGGATGAATAGTTCACTGATTTTGGTCTTCATCTTCAGCTAATGTTTCAATGTTCAAATCATCTTCACTTGACGTAGGGCGTAGGCATACTACTCCATAAGTAGTTACAATTTGATGAAAATAAGAATCAAAGTCTTCTTTCTTCTTATGGGCTTCTTGCATTAGAGTCTTTAAGGCTTCCCGTTGCACAACTGTTAATGACTCTTCTTCAACAAGTTGATCAACGATGATTCTTATTTTCTTGAGACAAGTTTTAATAAAAGATGTGAGTCGAGTATAAGTTTCAAATTTAAAATCACTATTTGGAGATGCCATTGTACAAAGATGAGGAGATAAATGTCAAAAATTCACAAAGTGTAAATGAGTGGGTTAAGAGTTGAAGAACCATTAAATAATGTGAGAGTGTTTGTGAAATGAAATGAAAAATCGTTTATTTATTCAGGCAAAGTTAGGGCCACATGGCCCTCTCTTACACTTATCCTGACATTCAAAATATAACAAAAATAATGTTACATTGGGATAACTTAATCTAATTAAACATAAAATATTAAACAACCTAACATTTCGGATGAGCCTTTAAACGGTAATCGTACAATGTATCTTCCGAGTTCGGCTCTGGTATGAGTGTCTGTGAATAACTATTCACAATGAATATCTTCTTGGGATTGTTTTTTGTGGTTTGGGATTTCTTCTAAGAGCCAAAATCTTTGAATGGAATTGTGTATGTCAGTTAAACTTGTAGTATGCAAACAAATATTTAAAGTACTCGATTGAGATGTGCATGATTGCAATGTGTCAGGTGTACATGGAGTAGTACCAATAATTATATTACCACATGGAGTATTAATTATTGATGGCAATGTGTTGGACAAATCGGACAAAAATTACTCAAGGTATCGCGTTCACGGACGTATATATATATACTAGCTGGCCCGACAGACTTCGTCCTGCCCTAATGTGGTTTGATGCCAAATGCTCGTTCATTTTAAAGATGAGCTAGTTCGCATGGCTCAATCACGTCCTGGTTGAAGTTTGTTCGCTACGCTCACTCACCTTTAGGTTGGAGCTCGTTCGTTGCGCTCACTTGCCTTCAGGTTAGCTCGTTCGCTACGATAACTCGCCTCCAGGTTGAAGTTTGTTCGCTACGCTCACTCACCTTTTGGTTGCAAATTAGCTGTTGTCATAAAGTAAAAAAAATAATAGTGCTGCACACTGTTGGTAATCCTTGTAACTTTAATGCTATTGATCATCATAGAACCAACTTGTTTAATTGAAACAGCTGTTAAGATTCATTAATTCCTTTTAAATATGAAAAATCATAAGGTTACCATGGGAAACTCCAGAGCCACTGGGACGGAGCCCGAAAGCCCGATCAGAATAAAAACTACTTAGTTTTCCTATTGAATGCCCAAAGAATCGGTGTACCGAATTTCAGCCTCCTAGGTAAAATGGGAAGTGGGAGAATTAGTGATGAGTGAGTGAGTGAGTGAGTCAGTGAGGGCTTTGCCTTTTATAAGTATAATTGTATAAGTATATATACATATATATATATACATACATAAAATTTGGAACGAATGGTGTTTTTGGCCTCTGGGGACATCAAAATGAGTAAATCAGTCCCGGGCCTAGGTCTAACCGTGCCACCTACGGTAATAGCTACAGTACTTCCCTATAGGAAAATTTGCTAAAAGGAAATAAAATTATAAATATATTGAAATCAATTTTGAACAAAAATGTGGTACTGTAATGTGATGAACTACGTAGTACGCAACATCAGGCATGTTGTTTTACGTGCTCAACAGGATAAGGGGGTCAATAGACAGGAACTTCTTGAGGACTTTGCCAAATATCCCATCCTTGGTGTTCTGTAGGGATAGAACAACAGTCTCTCTACCTCCTCAACACTAAAGAGTGGGATGTTGTTTGAACTACCACAGTGGTTTAGGTTGACTACCCGCTCTATTTTGGCCCCCTTTATGAAAGAAGTTGGAAAACGGGTTCTGTAATTGACACCGTTTCTTAATTTCTCCCAGCAACTAAATTGCTGCGATCGATGGCCTGGCAAATAGATTTCCTCACCACTCTTTAGGCCTCCGACTTACAAAGTCATCCTATGAGTTCCATAGCCCTGGTAGTAAGGCATCAGCCCTCAAGGCAGGTCGATACAATTCCGCAATTTCTGCAGTCCATCAGTATACGAGTCGCTTCTCGCATGAGGGCTCCTGTGAGGCATAGACTCATGGTTTATAGTGGGTCACGCTTACTGTATGGAGTTGTGATAACGCTGTCTGAGGAAAAGGAGCTTACGCATTGTATACGTTGAAATGTCTTAAATTTTAATGGTTTAAATACCTGCATACAGTAATCCAAAATGTTGCTTGTGGCAACTATAGTTTCAATTCACAGGGAATCATCTTCAGGCCGTACATCATTCATATACGGATATGAATAACGACGCATTGTACGGCCTGAAGATGATTCCCTGTGAATTGAAACTATAGTTGCCAGAAGCAACATTTTGGATTACTGAATTCAGGTATTTAAACCATTATAATTATTCAAACGTAATCCGGAGGCTAACAACTCTTGAAAATGTCTTAAATTTGTATTCATTCTCTATGTGACTGACAGGAGCACAATCATGGCTATGCCTGAGGACATTTCCAGTGGGTCACTTGCTGTATGGAGCTGCTACAACTCTTTGTGGTCTGCAAACACTGGGGGAAGAGTACACAGGCATTGTCCAGGTTGACACGTCACTTACAAAAGTCTCTCCGTTTGTGGTGAGTATATAACATAGAAATACAGAGTAATATATTTTTTATTGTTCCATGTTTATCACAAAAGCTAAAATGACTTCGCATAATTTTTTTATTTTTCCAAAATCTTGATATAGCCTAATTCAAATTTTTATAGAACTCCCATTTTTTTGCATGTAGGAAGTGGAAAACAATGTAAGATGAACAAACCTCCTCTGTTATTTTTCCTATATCTAATATTTTAGAGATATCTGCTGAAGAAGTACATCTGCACAAACTCATTGTAGTATGGCCCAATAGGGTGCCACTTTATCATTGTTAAAGTGCCAAAAATGCATGATATTTTACCTGATATATGACTATGTCAGGTAATTTTCACCAAATAGGCAACTTATTACAAGAACCTATTAAATATATATATGTATGTTTATTAAATTCAGAGTGCACAGTTGTCCTCAATTTACGACCTTAAGATAATATAATTATAATTATTTTCAATTTAAGTAAGAAGTAAGTAGATAGACTAAGTAATTCTTGTTGTAGGCCTACCTCTTTTGAAATAACTTTTTGTTTCAGAATAGGACATTCATGCTTTTATTGGATAGTTTCGGAAGTGTACTCCTCATTTCTGTTTTAAATAATTTGGAGAGAATTGTCAGTAAAAGTGGTTTACAAGTTAGAGCCAAAGAAGATATTTTAGAAACAATTAGGACATTGAAGACTATCCTTCCATTTCTTGAAAGGTGCCACAGAGCTTTGTTCTATTGTGGTGGTATTTATTACCAAATAAGCAAAAGAATCACTGGAATAAAATATGTAAGTTTATTTCATGATTGCACAAGTAGTAGGCTCTATGTAAAAAATAGTCTCACTATCTTTAGAATGATATTTCTAAACCAATTTAATGAAAATATTTATGCTAATTTGGTAATATATGCCTATATATGATGTATTACCAATAAGCAGATGAAAAGAAATTGTAAGTTGAATATTGGTTGAAATAAAAAATACAGAAACTGAATAAAAGAAACGTCTTAAAATATCTTAACACTTAAAATATATATTTAAGCTTATACTGTTACTCACTAGACGGTAAATATACAAAAAAGATGGTAAGTGGTGATCGATTTCGATAGGACAATCATCATCAGACCCAATAGGTGAATGACAAGAATCTTGAATCAAGATATTAGACATTCAAGATTCTTGATTCTTCTACCTAGGGCGCAAGGCATTTGGATTTTTTGGGGGACGCAAACAAATTGGAAACCAAACAAAAATGGTAGTTGTATTTGCATAAGAACGCGGTAAACTTCTGATAATCCCTCACGGCTGTGTAGACATAATTTTCGTCTCCCTTAGCCGTATATACACCGAAATCGTCCCACGATCACGGAAAAATTCGGACTTTTTTCCGCGGTTGTGTAGACATAATCATCGCCTTTCATGATCGCGGCAATATATAAACATATCTCGCGGTCGTGAGGAGATTATCGTCGTCTACCGCGAATGAGGCAAAATTCTGATCTGTTCCCGCGGTTGTGTGAACATTAAAATCGCCTTCCATGATCGCGGCAATATATAAACATATCTCGGGGTCGTGAGGAGATTATCGTCGTCTACCACGAATGAGGCAAAATTCTGATCTTTTCCCGCATTTGTGTGAACATTATCATCGTCTTGCGCGATGGCGGTAAAATTCTGATCATCCCTAGCGGCTGTGTTGACATCCGGATTGTATCTGTCCTGTAGACATTGTAATCGTCTCCTTTGGTCTTAAAGACATCATTATCGTTTCCTGCGATTGTGGCAAAATGTTAATCATATCCCGCAGTTGTGTGGAGATCATCATTGTCATCCGTGATCGCGGCAAAATTCTGATCATCCCTCACGGCCGTGTGTAGTATGGCATATTATCATCTCCCGCGGTCACGGAAACGTCACTGTTAGTCATGCGCAATCACGGTAAATTAAAAAATTCCAGGAAAAATTACAAAATTCACTTATTATTCCCAGTTTAAAAAAAGCTCACGCATAATTCCCGGATTTCCTGGTCGGTGGACACCCTGTTATATATTTCAAACGGGCGATATAAGATGTCCCTAGGGCGCTGACCGGGTCAAAAACGGGCCTGGGTAAGACTTAGACCCGGGAACAATATGCTTTTTCATTTGGATGTCCCTAGAGGCCAAAAACACTATTCGCTCAAATTTTTATATATGTATATACAATTGTTTGGCTACTATTATAAATATTAAAGTGCAACCTACTCCTCTATATTAATGGATTTCAAAATATGAATTTACTTAAAATAGATAATAAAATTCCAATGAAGTTACAATAAAATATATTTAGGTTCCGTTCTATAAATAGCTATAACAACAATCTCATTGGGCCATGACAGTGAAATTATATTTTGGTCTAGGTTTTTGATGGGCTAGGCTAGATAACAATTTGAAGAGCAAATTATCTTAAATCTAGGGGTTGGTTCGTGCCGGGTATGACATTCTGATAGGCTAATTAATTAAATTTATACAGTACTAATATAGGCTAAATAATATGAGATAGGCTAATAATGAGAGTTAAAATTTAGGCTATAAGTTCTTAATTTGAAAGTCACTTGAATTTAGTCAATTCACAATGTGGTGGTTGGAAATTGATGATGAGTTTTTTTAAGTGTTAATTGAGGTTGATATTACCAATTTTGTTGAATAGTGATTTTCTTCTTTCTTTAGGTCTCTTTATATTCAATATTTATATGTATTCTGAATGTTAATTTTCAATTTTGGATATTTAAATCACTGGAGACTTGGCTCCCACATCCATCTCTCTCTACTTCCACCACAAGCACATTTTCTTCCTTTTCTTTTAGCTTTCCTTCCAACAATTACTTCACACCTGGACACTGGACAGTACAAAAGAAATATTTCCTACCTAGACACTATTTAATTTTAGAATGGTATTTTTGAATATAGTTTTTTCTTCTTCACTAATTTATATTTCATAAAATTTAAATATTCTTTTTGAAAATACAGTAATTAATAAATATTAAAAGTAATTTAGCTACAATTCACATATGAGTATATTGTATAATAATTCGATTCAATTCAAAAGATAGGTACATTATTTATTTCAATCCATTCTATTTACAAAATTGGTAAACATAAACAATCAATTAATGAACACATGTTTAAAACTATACATCAACTCTCCCCCCTTAGTGTAAGGGAAGTATTTGGTCTGAGTGACGAGTCCAAGTGAGTCCAGTGTCTGTCTTGACTTTAAACATAACATTTCCTGTTCTTGAAATTATTTTCCCTTCCTTCCACTTTACTTTTGAGGAATAATTTCTTACCAGTACTCTCTGTCCCACCTGAAAATTTCTTTTCAGCTTGTGTTCCGACATAGTCTTTTTATTCCATTCAACTTTATCTGCCATCACGTTAAGTTTCGTTCTTATGTCTCTGCCAAACATTAACACATAAGCGGAGAGTCCTGTAGAGTTTGGAGCTTTGCGTAACTGAGTTACGAGAAGATCTATTTTATGCTGCAAGTCTCCCTTGTCTTCACTCATGGCAGCCAATGATTTCTTAACAGTTTGGACAAATCGTTCAGCTTGGCCATTGCTTGATGGGTGAAAAGGTGCACAAGTCCTATGGCAAATTCCATTATTGCTTAGAAACCTTTGAAAAAGTGCACTCGTAAATTGGGAGCCGTTGTCTGTTACTATCATAACTGGCAGTCCAAAAGTTGAAAATAAGTGACTTAAATTTCGAATGCACCAGTCTGAAGAAGTGTTTTTTGTATGTATAACCTCCAACCATTTTGTATGGGCGTCTATAATTATGAAGAAATAATTTCCATTTACGGGTCCACAAAAATCCAAATGTAAGCGATGCCAGGGAGCTGTAGGTTCTTCCCAAGGGTGATGGTTTAATTTAGATGGTTCATTTCTTTTCTGTTTGCATTTGTCACAGTTATTAACCAAGTTTTCAATATCATTATCCAAGTTTTTCCAATATACATAACTTCGCGCCATGGCCTTCATTTTCGACATGCCTAAATGCCCAATGTGTAGTTCCTTGAGAACTTCTTTCTGCAATGTGTTAGGTATTACAACTCGACTACCTCTAAAGATGCAACCTTTATGTAAACTTAAATCATTATTTCGGAAACCAACCTTTTCCAGATTTTCTCCATTTTCTAGTGCTGTTTACTATTGTAGCTAGTACAGGGTCTTTCTTTGTATGCTCTGCAAGTGTACATTGTGTGAGAGGAAGAATTGCTATTTGATTCATTTGGAATTTGGAATACAAGTCTTCATCATCTTGAGTTTGTTCAACTGGAAAACGAGACAAGAAATCTGCGTTACAGTGGTCTGAAGTTCTTCTATACTCAATTGTATAATCAAACCCAGCAAGGAAAAGTGAGTAGTTCAATAAACGAGTAGCTGACATTGCCGGTAAGCATTTTGATGGATGGAATATGGAAACAAGAGGTTTGTGGTCCGTCTGAAGAACAAACTTTCGTCCATAGCAATAAGCAAAGAATTTCTTTACCCCCCAGTAAATTGCTGTAGCTTCTTTGTCTATTTGACTGTACTGTTTTTCACTTTTTGATAAAGATCGGGAAGCAAAAGCTATGGGTTGTTCCGACCCATCAGGAAACTTATGGGAAATTACTGCTCCCAATCCATAAGGAGATGCGTCAGTTGAGAGTATTAGAGGAAGTTTTGGATTGTAGTGTGCTAGAGTGTTGTCATTGGCTATGTGCTTTTTAACATTGATAAAGCTGTTTTCACATTCTTGTGACCATTCAAATCGCTGTCCTTTCTGTAGTAACTTATTCAATGGATATAGCTTTTCGGCCAGTCTTGGTATGAATTTGTTGTAGTAATTGGCCATGCCAATGAAAGATCGTAGTTGATTCACATTTCTAGGTTTTTCTGCCTCGATAATTGCTTTGACCTTTTCTGAGTTTTTCTTCAGCCCGTTTTCATCAATTGTATGTCCCAAGTATGTTATTCTTTGTTGAAAGAATTTACATTTGTCAAAATTTAATTTCAAGTTATGCGCTCTAAGTTTTTCTAGGACAGTTTTTAATCTCTCTAGTGTACTCTTGTAATCTGTACCTTGAATGATTATATCATCGAAAAAGCATTTAACTCCATCAGTCCCTTGCAGTACCTTATCCATGAATCTTTGCCACAGTGCTGGTGCTACTTTCACTCCAAACATCAACCTGTTTACTTTATACAAACCTTTCTGAGTGCTTATTGTTTGTAGCAGAGCACTTTCAGAGTCCATTGGCATGTGTAAGTAAGCATTACTAACATCGAGTGTGCAGAAAAATTTACCTCCATTCATCTCCGCAAAGATGTCCTCAATTCTTTGTATTGGATACTTCTCATCACGGATAACTTTATTCAACGTAGTCTTGTAATCTGCACATATTCGTACCGAACCATTAGGTTTTACTACTGGCACAATTGGCGTACCCCATTCTGAGTTTTCAATCTTTGTAATAATACCAGCTTTTTCCAGTCGATCGAGTTCTTCTTCCACCTTTTGTTTAATAGCATAGGGCACTTGCCTCGGCTTCACAAATATTGGACCACAGTCTTCTTTTAGATTCAGGTGTCCTTTTTCATTTGGAATGCAACCAATTTCCTTACTGAATATATCTGAATAACTGTCAAGAACTTGTGTCAACTCAGATGAGTTTTAATTCAACATTCTAATATCACCAATTTCTAAATTGACTTCTCTTATCCAGTCTCTACCAAATATTGGTTCAACATCTTGGTCGATAATAAA